TTGTTGTGACTTTTTCCACAATTGAGGTAAACCTGGTTGGAAGAAAAAATGAAAATGAAAACAAATAACAGCAAAGAAAAAAGTGAAAATAAAACGCGAAATGTCTTCGAGTCAAATCATGAATTTCCTGTTAATGGTATACATATTATGTGATGTTTATGTAAAGAAAAATTGGTTTCCCTTTAACATTTAACAGTTTTTTTTACTAGGTTATGGTTTTACAAGGATGTAGTGGAAGTACTGTGTTAAGAAGGAACTATTTATTTAATTTGCTATTTACGATATTCTGTGAAATCTAGTTAAAGTGATTCAATTGCTACTTACTAATACTTTTCAATAACTACAGCATAATATCTTCATTACATAGAATTAGTGCAATAATGACTTACCAATAATTAAAGAGATGTTGTATACGTTTTCTTGCTTTGTAATAAAATATTGTTCATTGTGCGATTGCTTCATAATATTTTTTTTGCTCAATGTAGGGTGTGTACGTATAAATATTACTGCAACAATATTTTACTGTTTTCGACATTATTGTTACATTCATTACTGTCACTCTGTCGCGTTTTGTTCTTTGCTCAACTTATATAAATTACTACCCGGTAGTCATGAAGAACTTAAGTTTTTTCTTTTTGGTTTGAAAATTCTCTCTGAGATTATTGGATTACATTAAAGTGGCTATAGATCCATTAGTTTGTATAAATATATGGCTATAAACATCAACACAAACCGACTACACATGGGATAACTAAGAGTCATTTGGAGAAAAATTTTTCGTTATTCTTTTCCCAATTTTTGCAAATTTTCTATATGGTTTAGTTAGTTTGAATGGAGGATGTACAATATTGCATTAAATCCGAAGAAATAAAGCAAACCCTCCATCAGTGCCTCCGATAGTAATCGACCTCCTCTGACCCACCGCACCAAAAAAAAATTAATTCTCAAAAACATGAAAAATTTTGTGGTACCACTGTTTGTCATTGCCGGACATTTCTCCGATCTATATGTGTAGGCGAATATGCCAAAACCGATTACAGGACACGTAATCAATGTTTTATGAAAACAGTGGACTGTTATACACGACCATCAGATGTGTCAAGCGGAACATTAGAGCAAACCACTGCCGAAATCTGTTGCCACATTGATGGCAATAAACTGGAAGGAAAAACAGATCTGGGAAACTAACTTGAAAACTCGGAAATAGAAATTTCCACCGTGTTCCAAATTGCAATAATAGATTTCAGGTGGAAGCCCGTACTATCAGGGAGGTTAACAGCCAGCAGGAAGCTCATATGGGTAACAGACGTCTAGGGGATAATCGGCAATGAAACAGCTAATATACTTTCTATAAAGGTAAAGGAAATTGACGAATGCAAAACTGTTCGACAAAACGAGGGCAGAATTAAAAAATCCCTTACGGCCACTTGGAATAATATAATCGTGGGTAGGTCCACAAAAATCCTTTGCGCTGATCTCAACGAGAGCAGGTCCAGAAGTCTCCTTAAAGTAATAGTCCGTTGTTAGTATTATGATGAAAACTCAAGTATACAAAATTGGATGAACGAATCCATAAGAATATAAAGCATACGGAGAAGGAATTTAAATTAGAGACTTGCTCTGTCTTTCGTAGAAATTAGACTCACATATCTGGAGAGCAATGATATAACACATGTTACAACCCTCACTTGGAATAATAGAATGGTGGGTAGGACCATAAAAATCCTTTGGGGTGATACCAACGACAACTGATTCAGGATTTTACCCAGAATAATAAGTATGAAGTTGGTAAATTGATGGAAACACAGGTTTACGGAAGACATTGCAATGCAACAACACTTTCTCTGTCAATACTAGACTTTCGTCGAAATTAGATCCACATATCTGAAGATTCAGTTAACACTTTTTGAACATAGGGTGTCGATAATATTTTTAAATCAAGCTAGTTATAATTAATTTGGAAAGGGTATACATTGTCACCATTAAAACTGCTGGCTACTTATATACATATGTATTTACGAATATGCGACAACATTCACATACATATGCATTTATACCATATTTTATTTACCATGCACATATCCAAGCATAAAGCGCAAGCTGACTGTATAGATACGTGCAAGAAACGTGTCTTTTATGCAAAATTCCCATTTTTTCAAGTAGGGTTTTAAAGTTACATTCACATGCAGTAAGTATGTATATGTTCAGTATGTATATGTTCACTAGTTTTATACCCGTATTATTAGCAGCTAAAAATTCAGCTAATGATTTCTGTTTTAAGATAAACATAAAAAATATCACTGTGATATACATAAGCAAACATAAAAACTTTTTTAAGCTATATTGTTGTCTACACATACTATGTATGTATATTTTTTAGTTATTTATATTTTTTCTAAATAAAGTCCTTTAGGCTTTTGTTCTTAGTACTCAGACATTGACACTGACTTTGGCTAAAGGCATTATATACACATTCTAAGGCTTAAGGCAGCATGCATCATGCAACTCATTTTAATGAAATGCAGTGTCACTTTTTTTTTGTAGCTATCATACATGTTGCTAAAAACAATTCATGCTAGTAAGTACATATGTCTGCAATATATGTATGTGTGTTATTGCTTTTAGATTAAGTGCTTTTATATACATAGGTGTAGTTTTTTTTTTTTTGCAATATTTTAAAATGGTTTTACTAAAAATAATATAGCTATAACTTTTTGCCTATATTGAATACCCCTAGTTTTTTTTCACTCCTATATTTTCTTTGTTCTTTATTTGCTGTGCTTCAACACTTTGTGTTGTATTCTCTTACCACTAGGAATTATCGCATAATTTTTAAAGTGTCTTCAATGTCAGTCGATTCCTTGGTTTCGTTTCGCTTTAGTACACATCTTCATCGCTTATACGTTGATGTGTTGAAAGAATCACTCAATCGTTGTGAAAAATCTATGTTTAATCAATACTTAGTCAAGCACAATAAAATGTCTGGAAATTTTTTTATTTTTTTTTTTTTTTTCGTAATTCAGTATTTGCTAGATTTCTTAATAGATTTTTTTACTGAAAAGCTTTAAAGTTGTTTAGAGAAAAATTTGTGTAATAAATATTTAACTATTTCTCTTTGCGAAGACACTTTAAGTTTAAATATCATTCCGAGAAAAAGAACTTAATAAAGATCATCGAAAATTATAAAGAAGTTTTCGCAAATTCAATTTAATTCGAATTGAATAATATGTTTTTAAGAATTGTTACAATATTTTTCCAAGCAAAGTTGTCCAAATCCTCTTTCACTAAAAAATCAATATTAACTTAAAATCTTCTGACAGGTTTTTAAGAAGAAACTTAGAGCTATGAACTGAAATGACTATAGATTGGTTTTTTCAAAAGGGTGTTACGACCAAACTTAAAACGATCGAACACAGTTTAGTCTATAGTCTAGTCTATAGTCTAGTCTATAGTCTAGTCTATAGTCTAGTCTATAGTCTAGTCTATAGTCTAGTCTATAGTCTAGTCTATAGTCTAGTCTATAGTCTAGTCGATAGTCTAGTCTATAGTCTAGTCTATAGTCTAGTCTATAGTCTAGTCTATAGTCTAGTCTATAGTCTGGTCTATAGTCTAGTCTATAGTCTAGTCTATAGTCTAGTCTATAGTCTAGTCTATAGTCTAGTCTATAGTCTAGTCTATAGTCTAGTCTATACTCTAGTCTATAGTCTAGTCTATAGTCTAGTCTATAGTCTAGTCTATAGTCTAGTCTATAGTCTAGTCTATAGTCTAGTCTATAGTCTAGTCTATAGTCTAGTCTATAGTCTAGTCTATAGTCTAGTCTATAGTCTAGTCTATAGTCTAGTCTATAGTCTAGTCTACAGTCTAGTCTATAGTCTAGTCTATAGTCTAGTCTATAGTCTAGTCTATAGTCTAGTCTATAGTCTAGTCTATAGTCTAGTCTATAGTCTAGTCTATAGTCTAGTCTATAGTCTAGTCTATAGTCTAGTCTATAGTCTAGTCTATAGTCTAGTCTATAGTCTAGTCTATAGTCTAGTCTATAGTCTAGTCTATAGTCTAGTCTATAGTCTAGTCTATAGTCTAGTCTATAGTCTAGTTTATAGTCTAGTCTATAGTCTAGTCTATAGTCTAGTCTATAGTCTAGTCTATAGTCTAGTCTAGTCTATAGTCTAGTCTATAGTCTAGTCTATAGTCTAGTCTATAGTCTAGTCTATAGTCTAGTCTATAGTCTAGTCTATAGTCTAGTCTATAGTCTAGTCTATAGTCTAGTCTATAGTCTAGTCTATAGTCTAGTCTATAGTCTAGTCTATAGTCTAGTCTATAGTCTAGTCTATAGTCTAGTCTATAGTCTAGTCTATAGTCTAGTCTATAGTCTAGTCTATAGTCTAGTCTATAGTCTAGTCTATAGTCTAGTCTATAGTCTAGTCTATAGTCTAGTCTATAGTCTAGTCTATAGTCTAGTCTATAGTCTAGTCTATAGTCTAGTCTATAGTCTAGTCTATAGTCTAGTCTATAGTCTAGTCTATAGTCTAGTCTGTATAGTCTATAGTCTAGTCTATAGTCTAGTCTATAGTCTAGTCTATAGTCTAGTCTATAGTCTAGTCTAGTCTAGTCTAGTCTAGTCTATAGTCTAGTCTATAGTCTAGTCTATAGTCTAGTCTATAGTCTAGTCTATAGTCTAGTCTATAGTCTAGTCTATAGTCTAGTCTATAGTCTAGTCTATAGTCTAGTCTATAGTCTAGTCTATAGTCTAGTCTATAGTCTAGTCTATAGTCTAGTCTATAGTCTAGTCTATAGTCTAGTCTATAGTCTAGTCTATAGTCTAGTCTATAGTCTAGTCTAGTCTAGTCTAGTTAGTCTATAGTCTAGTTTATAGTCTAGTATATAATCATATAGTCGTTTTTGACCGATTATTAGGTCTATTTAACTTAAGATTTAAATAAAAATCCTATATTTTATATTAATTTGACCTTTCCTTTTCTTATTTACAGGTAATTTTGCATTTCCACCTCAATAAATTCCACAATGTCAACAATATCGTCATAATGAGTAAGAAATCATTAACAATACTACTTTTCATTCAAAGGAAAAAATATTTGTATTCATAAATGTAGATATTACTAATAATATAGTTAATTGCTTTACTATTAAAAAGCGGATATATTAATTTACTCTATGAAATCAAGTTAACATGAATGAACATGTAATATTTTTTTAAATAAATAAAAAACTATAAACCGGAAATTAATTATATGCACAAAGTATTAACGAGATGCAATTTAATAATATTACACATAGGGTTTAAAACTAAAAACAAATATTTCTGCAAAAAAAAGGAAAAGTTTTGTAAAAACTCATAGAGCAGACAAATAATAACATAAATTTATAAACAGTGATGGGCAAAATATATAACAGCATTAAAATAATAAAATATAGAAGTGTGCAGGTGACCAAATAATTTTTGAAAGACTCGTTGGTTATCATATGTAAGTTGCACAAACAGCATTTTATAGAACAGACACTCGTGTAAAAGATTAACTATCATGACCCTGGCTGTATTAAATTCAAACAAAATGTGTGTGTGTATAATTTGCCTGTATATTTTTGTATTTAAATGTAGATTACATTATTGTTAAAATATTTTGGTTCCGCCACAAAGTCTCTGTGTATAACACTAACTAATTTTTTCGTTAAATTAAAGCGAAATAAAAACTCTTATTATTTTCGTTTTTTGAACTGAAAACTAAAAAAAAAGTTTAAAGTTAACATTACTATTTATGAAAAAATTGCATACACAAAAAAAACTTAACAGAACAGAAATAATAGAATTGTTATAAACTGCAAAAACCTGCAAGCGTAAAAATGCAAGTTTTATGACGTTGACATACAATCGCCATTGTAAAGCTTTTTTTGTTGCTGTTGTTAACTTTTTTTGTTGGCGCTGTTGTTGTCATATGTATGTAAAGAATATAACAACAAAAAATTGGAATGGAGACAACAACAGCAGAAAAACAAAGTGAACATCATAACTATTTGTTAGCAATGTTTTGTAAAATTCATATTTAACCCTTTTATGATCAAACAGGGCCATTAATTCGGTCATTGCTATAAACTTAAAAAAATAGTAAACATTTATGTTAGTCACAGCTGAGCAACTAAGTGGAAGTATGCTTTTAATGGTACTTGGTAGATGTTTAAAAAAAGGTTGTATAATTATGAAAAAAAGATAAAGAATTTATAAATTTTTTAAATCATATATAAGTAGAACTTTAAAATATATATATATATATATATATATATATATATATATATATATATATATATATATATATATATATATATATATATATATATATATATATATATATATATATATATATATATCAAATTTCCGCTTAGTTTAAAGCTAAAATCTACCCAACATCAAAGAAGATGTAGAAATATTAGTCGTAGATCCACAAAAGTGTACATACTCTGGGATCTTATTAGATCATAAGATTATGCCCGTGTTCTTATATGAGTGGATATATATTTAAAAAATATTCAATATCTTAAATACCCTCCATAAGGTATAACAAAAATCTAGCTACATTTCTACTACAACATAAAACGTATGTTTATCAAAATAATAGTTTAAAATTACCCAGGATAACAAAATAGTGGTAAACAGTCCCCAAACCCAGATTTTATTCATCACATCTTCTTCGGTCTTCGAGGTATACATGGTTAATATCCCAGTAAAAATAAAACGAAGAACTTCCAAAATAATAACAATTATCACCACTTCAAAAGAAACACTATTTCAGACATTCTATAATACTACAATACTACTACTTCTTTAGAATGGCCTCAGAAGTGAATGTTGGAATGAAATAAAAAGAACGTACCTCCTATGACAAGTCTGTCTTAAAATCATCACTTCTGCAGCTCATTTTCAGCACTTAGATTAGCACATAGAGTAAATTCTACTTCTGTTTCGTTTCCTCTGAAGCTATTTTTTGCTGGGATATAAATTGTTATTACAATTTACGACAAGTTAGGTAGTTAGGTAGTTAGTTATTTAGTTAGTTAGTTAGTTAGTTAGTTAGTTAGTTAGTTAGTTAGTTAGTTAGTTAGTTAGTTAGTTAGTTAGTTAGTTAGTTAGTTAGTTAGTTAGTTAGTTAGTTAGTTAGTTAGTTAGTTAGTTAGTTAGTTAGTTAGTTAGTTAGTTAGTTAGTTAGTTAGTTAGTTAGTTAGTTAGTTAGTTAGTTAGTTAGTTAGTTAGTTAGTTAGTTAGTTAGTTAGTTAGTTAGTTAGTTAGTTAGTTAGTTAGTTAGTTAGTTAGTTAGTTAGTTAGTTAGTTAGTTAGTTAGTTAGTTAGTTAGTTAGTTAGTTAGTTAGTTAGTTAGTTAGTTAGTTAGTTAGTTAGTTAGTTAGTTAGTTAGTTAGTTAGTTAGTTAGTTAGTTAGTTAGTTAGTTAGTTAGTTAGTTAGTTAGTTAGTTAGTTAGTTAGTTAGTTAGTTAGTTAGTTAGTTAGTTAGTTAGTTAGTTAGTTAGTTAGTTAGTTAGTTAGTTAGTTAGTTAGTTAGTTAGTTAGTTAGTTAGTTAGTTAGTTAGTTAGTTAGTTAGTTAGTTAGTTAGTTAGTTAGTTAGTTAGTTAGTTAGTTAGTTAGTTAGTTAGTTAGTTAGTTAGTTAGTTAGTTAGTTAGTTAGTTAGTTAGTTAGTTAGTTAGTTAGTTAGTTAGTTAGTTAGTTAGTTAGTTAGTTAGTTAGTTAGTTAGTTAGTTAGTTAGTTAGTTAGTTAGTTAGTTAGTTAGTTAGTTAGTTAGTTAGTTAGTTAGTTAGTTAGTTAGTTAGTTAGTTAGTTAGTTAGTTAGTTAGTTAGTTAGTTAGTTAGTTAGTTAGTTAGTTAGTTAGTTAGTTAGTTAGTTAGTTAGTTAGTTAGTTAGTTAGTTAGTTAGTTAGTTAGTTAGTTAGTTAGTTAGTTAGTTAGTTAGTTAGTTAGTTAGTTAGTTAGTTAGTTAGTAGTTAGTTAGTTAGTTAGTTAGTTAGTTAGTTAGTTAGTTAGTTAGTTAGTTAGTTAGTTAGTTAGTTAGTTAGTTAGTTAGTTAGTTAGTTAGTTAGTTAGTTAGTTAGTTAGTTAGTTAGTTAGTTAGTTAGTTAGTTAGTTAGTTAGTAGTTAGTTAGTTAGTTAGTTAGTTAGTTAGTTAGTTAGTTAGTTAGTTAGTTAGTTAGTTAGTTAGTTAGTTAGTTACAGAGCGTAGAACCGCTACGGTTAGACATTCAAACATCAACATAAGCTCGTTGGACCCTCAACATAGTTCTTCCACAGGATGTCAAAAGTTTCAAAGCAAACTTTTTCAAAGAATTTATTTGCTTCCCAACGACTTCTTATATATTATCATTAGAACAGACATACCTACTAAATTTCAAAGTGTTGTTAACTTCAACTATTCCTAGCATTTAAATTTGCATTTATAAGTAAATATATAAATAAAATATTGCTGGGTGGTACTGCTGATTGTTCAGATAAAATCTAACTAAACGACCTAAAAACCCACCAATTAAAGGGTTAAATACTTTCAAAGCATATAACTGTGGTAAAGTACGAATAAAAAACTATGCAGTGAAAGCCTGTTAGTCTGATTGTTGTACATTACTACGACTAGTTCTGTATATATCACAACCGGACTTTAAAAATTCTATTTGTGCCTTTTCTTTGTTGAATTCTACTATATGTTTGTATAAAATATAAAACACTATTCTATCATTCCTTTTATTGTTCGTTGTAAAAATACATTTAAAATTCTAGTCAGACGCGCCAACATATTCCATCACATAAACTAAATACTTATATTTGTACGTACATTTATATGTACATATGTATGTATGGAGGCATGTGTAAACGTTAGATACAAAATACCACAGTTGCATTTTTGCCATAACAAATCGTGACAAATATTATTTAAAACAAAAAGTGAACAACATATGATGCGTAAGTAGAAAGGTATACTTGCATACATATGTTTCTATGTGTGTTGAGGTAAATGTGAAGTAAATTGTTTAATGATATATAGAACGAAATACATGCATGCGCGAGATACATATTTAGATATGAATAAAGATAAAGTTTATTTGCAACAAGAGTGACATAACTTTAAAAAGATGGATTTTTAGGAAAGAAAGTTTAACTAGAGTTTATAAAGAGCCGAGGTGGCTTCAATTCACTACTGAAAACTTTTAAAGCTTTTCAAAAGCTTTAACAAATTGCAAAATTTTAATTTAATACCATTTTCTCGCAAATGAGCTATGTATTTTTTAAATGTTTTTACTATTTTCGTGCATGTTACCATTATATTTGCCCAGGTATGAGTTTTGTCATAAAACTTGGTTTTAATGACTTTGTTAAGTTCTTCTTTCGCTTTATTTTCATTGAACAAGTAAAACACAAATGTGTGTATGGTTAATTAAGTCATGATATCAAAGATACAATAAAGAAAATAGAACAAAAATCTGTTTAGGAAGTTTCTGTTTTTTTTTTTTTTTTTTAGAAAAAAAAAAAACTACTTATTGAAGGAAATTTAACAAAAAACCAAATAAATGTATGTCACTGTGCTATAGTCTTCGCAATTAGATATAGTAAATATATATATGTATATATATAAATTGTTTTTTAATGAGGTTAATTAAATTATAGGCAATTTAGTAAAACTTAAAAAAAGCAAAACATTACTTTTCCATCAACGTCATGATGGTAAAAGTACACAAACAATAACTTAAAAAAGGATTTTTATGTTCGACCTAATTTTTGCTAGAATTTTTTATTATCTTTTTTCAATGTTTGTTAAATTGTCATTTATGTAACCTGCAATTCTCTATATATAGTGTAGACAATTTATGTTTGCTTGAAAGTCTGAGTACATGGTAAAAATCAATTTGAATATCAAATATCGTAAAAGGTTTTTAGCTGAAATAAAAGCAAAAAAAAAGGAAGATTTGAATCGGTTTTTTTTTTGTACATTAGTTTATTGTCCTACTTTATTGTACTACAAATTTGTGGCTATTGTTTG